TTAGGAAAAAGATTTTATTTCAGATTACACAAAGCTAGGGTGACTATCCATTCAGGCAATCTGTAAAGCCTTTAGCTACGCCTGTTGAGTTCAAACAGACGGATTTTAAGATGGACACTTTAGAGTTTCTCTAAAAAGGGAAATAGTTCCCGCAAAATAATTCGGATTCCACAAATACCACAAGTTCGTTAAATAGCTGTTATATCAATAAAATGTCCTTAATATAAAAGCTGCATTTACCCCAGTTCGTTTAAAGTGATGAAGGACTGTTAGTTCAATTTACCCGCAATAAAAGGAGCAAGCCTCACGTTTCCATTGAATCTAGCATAACCTTCCTTCTCAACGGATAAGAATACATTTTAGAAACCAATGCTATGTTAAATTAAATAAAAAAATGAGACCTAATCATATCGTTATGGGAAAATTCAACTAACGATCCTTCATCCCCAAATAAAGTGAATACAACTCTTACATCAGATTTACTATTAGTCTCAAAAAAATACTTACAAATGGAAAATAATGTTTTAATACTCAAATCGGAAACAAAGATTCACCTTAGACATTCGATGTGTTTGTTTAATTTGTGAACTATGCAGATCTGTGGTGAGCATTATAATGGAAAATGCCAATACGTATGCGGCGTCGGCGGAAGCAAAGATGCTATTTCCCTGGTTGGCAGCACAGTAGCGGGCAGCAAACTTCTCCATAAGGCGATCAATTTTCTGGGCCTCTCCAGGTAAGCGAAAGCCAGATAGAAATTCTCTGTAAGAAAGATTAAAGAAAAGGAGGAAAAGAAGGGAAGTAAGAAGTTGTTGTTTGAAAAGATTGCGAAGTCAAGTAAATGCAAGTGGCCCTCAATAAATGATGCAAAAGAATCGAGATCTATAAAAGCGAAGAAAGGTATGGGGTCTTGTGACTAAAGAAGACGTAATCGAGAAGAAAGACTTACATGAAAGAGGAGCCTAAGACTCTAAAGAATACTAGATAATATACAAAAAAGGACACTAAAACACGATGGGCGAAATCCCATATTACCGAAGGGAGCCTATAAACTAAAATTATTTGAATTTTTAATGGGGACATATGGCAGGTAAAGACAGGCAGACTAATATTCCTTTAATTATATGGGCTCAAAATTGATTTGAGAATTTGCCCTTGCTTTTATAATCTTTGCAATATGACAGATGAGAGATGAGCCAACGCATCTCATCACAACCTCATTCAAAATTAACACAGGAATCAGCAAGTAAGCATACAGTTCATTAATATTGTCTACGAAAGCCTAGAAAGCGAAAAAAATAATTATGTATGTTTTCCAAAGTATGCACCATGTGCAAGATGGGAAGCCGAGACACTAACAAACGGAGATAGATAGGGGTGGATATATTTATGAACAAGAACATGTAGGTACTAATCGAAGTAATCAACAAAGCTAAATTGAATCATGAACCATAAACAACGATAAGTTGACCCTTTATGAAGTCTGGATCTACTTTCCTAGTATAGACTTGATTTTATCCTTTCTGTTATGTGGTGGGATCTTTCTGAAAACAGACTCAATACGCAGCCCTTCATTACATTCGAAGCCCGGATACGCCCACAAATGTATCCCTAGATGTTTACTCAGGTTCGCAAGCGGTAGTCGAACTTAAAAAATAGCCTCAATTCAGATAATGTAGTAAATTGGATGCTTGTAACATTACTACTCTGTTGCATCTTGGTCATAAGGCCTTGGTGACTAGTTTAATACACATATAGCCCATCCTACATTATGTCAAGTAGCTCTGTAGATTTAAACTCACCTTTGTCCGGTTAAAGCACATTTTATAGCGTGAGTCCCCTGCTTTTGCCCTTATCTTCAAATCCACAAGTATATAAGGCACCCCTTGATTAGACTAGGTGAATTAGCAAACAAGCAAAAGCAGGTGAGTTTTAGGCGTAGCTGTAAATTGTTAAACCAATTTGGTAGAAAGTACTCCAGTAACAATTAACATGATAAAGGAAATGAGTTAAAGGTTGATAAAAAAATACAAAACTGAAATGAATTAGACAAAAAACCAAAATGATGCTATAAGGTGCTCACCGAAGAGCTGAGACAAACTCAATATTCTCAAATCGGAATTGATCCACATAAGCATACATCACTTCCAAGTGAAAGGCCTCATTTTCTCCAAGAAACTCGCCTATATGAGCTCGATCAAGACGGTCTTCACGATGGAGGAATGCTGCAATCTCTTCAGGACCTTCACCAAGCAAATCATTATGCTGCAACAAGGCAAAGCATTTTGCTGAACGGCCCTGATTGAAAAGGGCAATACCCTGCTCATATACCTCTTTTTGGGCCTTACGAGACTCAAAATCCTCAGGGTTGTCTGGTGATATATAAGACTGCCGGTTCGAGTTCACTATAGAAAATAACAAAGGTGCATGAAGTAAAAAATTATCAAAAATTTAATCAAGGCTGGACCGCTCGGATCCACTGAGACTTAGGCTAAATTCATTGCATTCCATTTCCATGAGAATGCATTCAAATGGGCAAACCAGTGTGCAGATCGAAAACAAAAAAAAATATTCAAACGCCATCAGACGCTAAACGTAACTCTATTAAAGAAGTTGTTTGAACTTGCTTTCTCAACTTTGTCACATTGGTAGGAAAACTTAGAAGCCTAATTTTGGTCTACCTCGTTCTTGCAAATTGGTCGTAGCGACAGAATGACTTTGTGCGGCGCCTAGTTCTTCGTATTCTGCGATAGTATTTGTGATGAGTTCCGCCATTGTAATAGTATGACAGAGGACATGGAACTAGGTACGTTCCACCATCTAGCATTGCAAAAATAGGGTCAAGCCAGCACTACAGCTAAAAAAACTGCAACAAATCAAAGAGCCACATCATCTTGGTCTTCATATATACAAAGTCTGAGTTCACAACTCCGTAATCCAGTGCGTGCCCAAAATATGCTAACAACTCTTTGTAACTGTCAGCATTTTAAGATACACAAGCAGGCGAAGATTCAATCCGAAGAAATGTAAGAATATGAGAAAAATATATACTTACATTGAGAAAATAAATTTGATGCTTGAGTAAAAATAGGAATAAAAACCTAAAAGGCTGAAGTTAGCTGAAAATCACTTTGGAAAATAAATAAACTGCTAAAAGCCTGACTTATCTGATCAATAAATCTGATTCCCTAAGAATAGGCAAGTTAGACTATGCGGTTTCCTATCTATCCTGCTAAGAAAGAGGGACTTATGCCTAATCATGCGGCATGGCATTGCAGGCGAACAACAATTGAAGCAGGCTGATGGACTCGGGCGCCGACTAGATGCCTGAAACCAACCCTATTTAAGTGACGAGGCTATTAAAAAAATAGATTCCAAACGATGATAGGTTTCATTGCATAGCTACGGCTATCTCAAATAAGGTCCGATAGAGATTCATTAATTAATGACTATTAGCCATAATTGGAAAAATATCTTACTTTCTTGGATGAAATCTATTAAGGAAAAATAGATACTGTCGCATGGCAATACTATAACACTGAATAAAATATGTTACATAGTGGATTGGTACTAGGAGCCTTATGGCATGTTGTATCTTCCTCTCATACTGCACACTACGTAGCACATATTCCAATCATCTTTACGAAAATGGAGCAACACCTTGAGAAGACAACTACAGTTTCCATACTTTAATTAAACGATAAATCGGCGCTGCAACAGTTATAAATTCAGACGATTTTGATTTACAATGATGGAGTTATAGAAAGAGCTTGCAGCAATCTGTCTTATCCTAAAGCCTACAATCGTTTCAATTGAGGATAGGGGACAGTAGTCCCCTTTGTGCGCAGCATCACTTTCATATGCAATGAACAAAATTGAAATATATTCTGCATTGCTGCTTTTGATCACATTTTAGCTAAGTCATATTTTGCACACATACGCACATAATTTTTTGGGTAATAAATAAATAAATCTATTTGAATCAGAGAGAGGAATTGTCAAAGCAAAGGATAGATATATAAAAAAACTACATTTGCAACCACCAGGTTTTCAAATAACAGGAATCACTATTAAACACCATTATAAAAGTATACTTGTTTCCCCCATCTTTGCTAAGAAGATTAAATAGAAGAAAAGCAGAAGCTAATTATTTATGTGACGCCTAGGAACACATACTTGCAGTAATTGGCATTTTTTCGTACCCAGTTAATTTACCAAGCTTTTAAAAGTTGGGCTTCAATTTTATAATTACGTTAAGTTTATGGTGCTTTG